TGCATGCATCACGCTGATGTGATGACTTTGATTCCTTCAGGAAGATTCCTAGAAGGGGAAGCAGCTGGGTTAAATGGAATTCTTTTTGAAATAAGTTCTTTCCACAAGGTTCAGGCTGGCCTTAAACTCAGTATATATCCCAGGCTGGTTTTGAACTCACAGTGATCCTCCTGCTTCAGTTTCCTAAATACTGGGGTTACAGGCGTGTGCCACTATGCCCATCTTGGAATTTCTAATTTTAGCATTTTGAGGACTCTCCATACTGATTTGCATAGTGGTTGTACTAGTTTACATTCCCATGAACATTTAGGTGGGTTCGTTTCTCCCTCACAGCTTCATCTGCATTTATTAGTTGATTTCTTTCTTTTTTTCTTTTTTTGGTACCAGGGATTGAACTCGGGCTCTTGAGCTTGAGAGGCAGGCAGCGGAACCACTGAGCCAAATCCCCAGCCCTATTAGTTGATTTCTTAATGACAGCCATACTTTCTGGAATAAGATGGAACATCAGTGTGGCCAGAGATGTTGACCACTTTTTCATATATTTATTGACCATTTATGCTTTTTCTTCTGAGAAATGTTAAGTACTTTCAGTTGCCCATTTTTTATTGGACCTTTTATTTTGAGGAGATCTAATTTTTTAAAAATTTATATTTATTTATTTAGTTAGTTTGTTAGTTTTTTGGGAGAGGGTCTCACTTATGTAGTGAGCCTGACCTGGAACTCACTGTGTAGCCCAGGCTGGTCTCGAACTCACAGTGATCCTCCTGCCTCAGCCTCCCAAGTGCTGGGATTACAGGCCTGCACCACAACGCCCAGCTTCTAATTTTTTTGAGTTCTTTAATCTATATATTAGTCCTCTGAGGAATAGCTGGTAAGATTTTTTGCCCATTCTGTGGGTTGTCTCTTCACTCTTTTTTTTGTTTTGTTTTTTTGGAACAGGGTCTATGTAGTTGAGACTGACCTGGAATTTACTATGTAGCCCAGGCTGGTCTTGAACTCACAGTGATCCTTCTGCCTCAGTCTCCCAAGTGCTGGGATTGCAGGCGTGTGCCACCACGCCCAGCCTGTCTCTTCACTCTTAATTAGTTTTGTTGCTCTGCAGAAGCCTTTTACTTTGATATGATCCCATTTATTGATTCTTGATGCTATTTCTTATGAAATTGGTATTCTTTTCAGAAAGTCCTTGGTTATGCCTGTCCTTGAGTTTTATCTATTTTATCTTCCAGAAGGTTATTTCTGTTTTAATATTAAATCTTGATTGATTTAATTTTAGTACGTGGTGAGAGATGTGGATCTAGATTCAATCTGCATGCATAAAGCCAGTTTCTTCCACACCATTTCTTAGAGAGGCTTTCTTTCCTCCAGTGTGTTTTGGCCCTTTTGTCAAAGATCAAATGGCTGAATGTGCCCTAATTGTTTCTCTGTTCTCTTCTACTGATCCACATACCTGTTTTTGTGCCTGTACCATGCTATTTTTGTCACTGTAGCTTTGTACTATAACTTGAAATCTGGGATTGTGATGCTTCTTGGCTTTGCTCTTGTTGTCTGGGATTTCTGGTTCTGTATGAATTCTGGTTCTGTATGAATTTCTGGTTCTGTAGGATTATTTTTTCTAGTTCTTTACTGCTGTTGGTATTTTTATTGGGATTGTGATTATGTGTGTGTGTGTGTGTGTGTGTTTTGGTGATGTGGCCATTTTGACAATATTGGTTCTGCCTATCCAGGAATTAGGGCATATCTTTGTAATTTCTGATGTCTTCTTTAATGTTTTTCAGGGTACTGTAGTTTTCATCTCCCCATTACAAAGTTCTTTTCACTTCCTTTGTTAGGTTAATTCATATGTTTAATTTTTCTTGAAGCTATTATGAATGTTATTATTTTCCATTTCTTTTTCTGTTGATTCATTATTGGTGCAAAGAGTGTTACTGATTTTTGTGCTTGGTTTGTATCTTGCTCGTTCTCTTTGAAACTGCAAAAACTAGTACATGCAGATACTTTTTTTTGATCAAGTGAGATTGAAGATACTTATAGTTTGAGGTACCACATTACTTGTTTGAAGGCTTATTGCTACTTAGAGATGTTTTAATCACTGAATAAAACATCTGGCTAGTGACATTTGAGTATTTAACATAACAGTAACAAAGTTCTTTATTTGTCTATTTAAAGGTAACTTAAAGCTGTGTTGCACATAGGGATCTATAAAGTAGTGGGAACTAACCAGATACTAGTAAATGAAGTCTGAGATTACTTTGTTTTCTCTCTAAAATTTTTTTTTCATTTCACATTTTAGTGTTTTTCCAAATCTGTAAGTTCAAAATGATTTGAAAAGAACTGAACAAATTGAAAAAATTTATTACTCAGAAACTGCTTATGTGTAATCAGAATCAATTTGTATTTGTGTGTGTATGTTATACATAAATAGAAACTTCAAGAAGCATTTTGTAGAGATACTTCCATTGTTATTTCTACAACCTTTAAAATTACCACTATATGCCTCTGTGTCGTTTGTTATACAACAGTACTATGGTGTAGTTCATTTTAGAGCTAGACCTTTGTAGCATATCATATCAGTGGTTGTAGTGTCAGCCATGATGCATCTTTTCATTTCCTCAGAGTTTTAGTTTCCTATATGAGTGTTTTATACTCATAAAAAAACCTAGTTACTGCGAGCATGGTGGAACGTACCTGTAATCCCACTACTCAGGAGTCTAAGGCAGGGGGATTGCTGTGAGTTCAAGGCCAGCCTGAACTATAAAGCAAGACCTTCTCTGCAAAACAAAAAACAAAAACAAACACAAACCAAAACCTAGTTACTGAGTTTAAGTATTTAATCATTTTTGTGTCTCCCTGTATAATGCCATTGCCAGAAAGAACTATATCTTCCCCCTTAGGAAGATTATGTCTCTCTGAGTGACATTTTTTGTATGTATGTTTTTACCTTTTTGTAAAATAGAACAGATAGCAAAGGTGATAAATAGCAATTATGTAGTTTAATGAGTGAAAATAAGGCAAATACGCTTGAGGCCATCACTCAAGGGACTTTGTCAGTTACCTCAGGCTCTTCTGTGTGCCCTGTTCTGTATAACTCCTTCACAAAAGTAACCTTTGGCCTGACTTTAATAATGATCATGTCAATGCATTTCTTGTTTGTTTGTTTGTTTTTTGGTACCAGGGGTCGAACTCAGGTCCTTGTGCTTGCAAGGCAGGCGACGGTACCACTGAGCTAAACCCCTGGCCCCATTGCATTTCTTTATAGTTTCATGACCCAAATGTTTATCTTCAGACACTTTGATTAATATTGCCTGTTTTAAAAATTTTGATACGTCTTTTACTTCTTCCTGCATCCCTTTCTTTTCCTTAAAACTTGTCTGTTGAAGAAGAATTCAGTCCTGGGCTGGGGGATTTAGCTCAGTGCCTGCCTTGCAAGTGCAAGGTCCTGAGTTCAATCCCCAGCCCCCTCCCCAAAGAAGAATTCAGTCCTTTGGACACGTAGCATTTTCCTTGTTGCTCATGTATACTTATGGTTCATATTTCTCTGTGGTTCCTGCAAATCACTAACTGGATTTGGAGGTTTAATGAGGCTAGAGTTTAATCCCTTTGGCAGGGTTCTTAAGTGCTGTGCTCTTGTACTGGGAGAGTACCTAATGGTGAGTTATTTCTTTTTCTGTGGTGTTAGCAGTTCTTGGTGCTCAGTACCTAGATCTATTTAAGTTATTAGGGATTATGGTATATTTTAATTATTTCCTTTTTACTTGTTGGATTAAGGAGCCACTTTCCATTATTTATATTTGGTTATCCACTGGTATCTGAACCACACTTTAAGGATAATGATATTGAACTTGTCTAAATGAAAACTCATTGGACTTAATTTTTGAACAGAACCTCTTGAGTTTGATAAATCTGGGGAAATTAATGAATTTTTTTGGTGAGTAGTGCTTTTTCTGAACTAAGCATAATCTTAGGTGTTGGGGTAAAATGAATGGGTGAATGGTTAGTCCATTGGTGAATGGGCTGTTAGGATAACAGTTATGAAAGAGATAATTTAGGGGACCCAGTTTAGAACAGTGGGTCAGAGAATGCCTTGATAAAGAAGTATTTAATTTGAGTTAGGAAGGGTAAGTAAAAAATTAGTCATTTAATAAATAGAGAATGGAAGGTTTCAGTTAGAGTACACATTATATAGAGTGGCCTTTTGATGAGAAAGAGCTTAGTTTATTGAAAGATCAGAGGGGAAAAAAAAAGACCAGCACAGCTGTAACACTGTGAGCTATGGGAAAGCGATTACCTTACAAAACAGATAGGAAGACTTTGTCCCAAAATAAAAAGCTAAAAGGACTGGGAATGTAACTCAGTGCCAAGGCCCTGCTTTCAAGCCCTAATACTGCTAAAATAAAAATAAATAAAATAAAAATTTAAAAGGCAGGAAACTCAGTGTGGTGGCTTGTGTCTGTAATTCCAGCTATTTCATGGGATGAGACGGGGAAGTTGCAAGTTCAGTTTGGGCAATTTAGCAAGACTCTGTCAAAAAGGGCATGAGGTAGGGAGACAGACAGAGCCTAATGACGTGGATGGTCTTATAAATAGTGTTAAATATATTGAGATTTATTTTAAATTTAGTTTAGAAAATGTTATCTGAGCGGTCGTGGTGGCACACACCTGTAATCCCAGCACTCAAGAGGTTGACGCAAGAGGATTGCTGTGAGTTTGAGACCAGCCTGGGCTGCATAGTAAGTTCCAGGTCAGTCTCAACTACATAGTGAGACCCTGTCTCGAAAAAAAAAAAAAAAAGAAAAAAGAAAATGTTCCCTGTAGGCTTATGCTTGGTTCTGAGCCCATCAGACATCCTAGAGATGACTATTCTGATTGTGTTCAAAGTAATAATTCCCATTTATTCTAAGTGTTATATAACTATCCTGGATGCCATCTTTATAGTTGACATTTAGATAAAGTTAGAGGGTTTAAAAGAATTCTGGAAGTTAATCTTTTGGCTGTGTTCAAAGGTATCTGGAGAAGCCAATGAAACTCAGATTGCAGAAGCATTGAAGCGGTACAGCGAGCGGGCATTTTTTGTCCGAGAAGCTCTTTTTCACCTTTTTAGCTTGACTCATGTGATGGAAAAAACAAAGCCAGAAATTTTAAAGGTAAGAATAAGAAGCTGGTTATTAAAGTTTTGATAATTGTATAAGAAAATTTGCATTTAGCCTTTGATTTTTATTTAAAATGTGTCAATCTATGATTTCAGTTATTAGCTTAAATGACAGAAGGCAGTTCTATAGTGTTTTGAGGTTTCAGAGTTATTTCATTAAACAGTATTAATGCTTTCAGCATATACTTACTTACCTAAAATCAGTGATCATGATATTTTATTACCAGCTAGAGTAGCAAATGGAAGTATAACTGGAATCCATACATTGCAGTGTATGTTAACTCTATATTGCTTTCCTCTTAGAGTCTTTTTAGAAATACAGTATTACAATTCTGTAAGGTATATTTCCATGCCATTTATGAAATTTCTGTGCTTTTGTAATCGATCCATGTTATTTCCCACTAAACCAAAACATTTTTTTTTGAAGGACAATAAAGGGATTCTTTTTTTTTTTCCCCCCCTTTTTGGTATCAGGGATCAAACTCAGGACCTTGCACTTTTGAGCTCTGGATTCTTAATTTTGTTGATTGCTTAAGTCAGTGTTTATCAAAATGTGGTCTGATGATCTCTGGAAGTCTGGTATATTGCTTATATTACCACTTATTACCACTATAATCCCAGCTACTCAAGAAGCTTAAGCAGGACATCTTACTTTCTCATTGCTGAAACAAAATACCCAACACCCACACTTTAAAGGAGGTAAGGTTTATTTTGGCACACAGTTTGTAGAGGTTTCAATCTGTAGTCAGGTAGCTTCAGGGGAGAGTGGTCTGGCAGAGAGGCATAGCAGTGGAGAAGCAGTTCATGGTAGAGCATGTAAGAAGGAGAGAGAGAGAGTGGGAAGACAGACTCAGGCCACACCTACAGTGACTTCACCGGGCTTTACCTCCCAATATCATACCCAGCTACAGACCCATCAGTAGACTAGTCCAGTGATGGTACCACACACCGTAATCCAGTTGCTTCCCCAAAGCCCCACCTATGACTGCATGAGGTTTTGCGGGACATTTTAGATATAAACCATAACACAGGTGAATCACAAGTTTGAGTACAGCCTGGATAACCCTGTCTCAAATATAAATGAATAAAAAGGACTAGGGATGTAGCTAACTGTGAAACCCTGTGTTCAACCCCAGTACAGTGCCAAAAAAAAATTGTGAACCCCTTTGGGGCACAGGAATCTGCATTTGAATAAGCTCTTAAGATAGTTCTTGTGCACATTAAATTTTGAGAACCAGTGAGTATGGGACTATATAATATTTAATATTTAGTGGGCACAACATTCTGAAGAGACAGATTTTATCTTATGATATACAGATTGTGAAACTGAAGATCTGTGAGGTTAGGTAAGAATAAGTCAGTGGCAGATCCAGAACTGACCTGTCTTCCTAAATATCTTAAATTTTGAGAATGGGGTGCTTGGACAAGAACCAGTAACATTTCATCTCTTACTGTTATCCCCAGTACCTATCCCTCTCTATATATATACCAGAGGATAATGCATTGTTTTTTTGTTGGGTGAGGGGTTCTGTGAACTGGAACAACAAAGGACTAGCTCTGTAGTCCTAACTGAAATATCTGTCCATTCAGAGAATCATTCAGAAATTAAAGAATATAGGAGTTTTTAGTAAAGGGAAGCAAAGGAAAAAGGTGATTGACTAAGAAAGCGGGATTAAAAGAGGGTTTTGTTTTTGTTTTTTAAACTGGGAGGAAAATTGCTTATTTGTATGCTGATATGAATGGCCCAGTACAGAATAAAAAATCGCTGTAGGAGTTAAGGGAGAAATCAGCTTGTCTTGAATAGACAAGAGAAGGAACTGAGTGTTTAAAAGGAGGGATTGGGCCTGGAAGTGTAGCTATGTGGCAGAGAGCTTGCCTAGCAAGCCCGAAGTCCTGAGTTCAATCTCAGCACTGTAAATGGGAAAGTCTAGATAGGAGCTCCAAAAAAACTCATTTATGGTAAGGTCCCGAGGGAGTGGCATATTTTCATCTGTGTATGGTGTGCAGGAGCATACATGTGGGGAGAATTTAAAGTACTTTCTTGGTTGTTTTCATTTTCTTAGTGTTTTTGACAGTGATGTCTTCAGCTGATAGTGAGAAATGGTAGGGACTTTGGGTGTTTGAGGAAGAGACAGAGAGGAGGCCATGGAGAGGTGAATGAATTTTATCGCAATAACTCTACCAGTGTTGTCAAGGAAAGGAAGCTTGGGAATTTAAAGTGAAATTTGCCACTAGTTTTCCCTCTTCAAGTCAGTAAACAATTATTCTTCACTGCTTTTCCACATTAAGGCCCTCTAACAGGTCTTAGAATACAAAACTGAGCACTTGTGTAGAAAAGATCCACGCATTCATTTTGCTTTCAGAGAAAATGTCTAGATATGAACAACTAGATACCTGCCTTGACCAGGTAGGCAGAAACTATGAGTAACTAATGTGCTGTGCTCCTTGTACATGAAGATGGAAGATTACTTAAGACATCTTTAAAATTATTATAGATCAACAGAGTAATGTTGCTCTGTGAAGATGGCTTGTATTTATGAGGTGAGTTAAGACTAATTTTCTTTCCAGCTTGTGGTTACTGGGATGAGAAATCACCCAATGAATTTACCAGTGCAACTGGCTGCAAGCGCCTGTGTATTTAACCTAACCAAGCAGGATCTTGCCGCAGGAATGCCTGTCCGACTGCTGGCTGATGTGACCCATTTGCTGCTCAAAGCTATGGAACACTTTCCCAATCACCAGCAGGTAAGCGCATATAAATAGTTATGCAAATAGTCCTTCTAGAAGCATGGTATGATGGTGCATACCTGCAATCCCAGCACTTTGGGGAACCCAAGGCAAGATGATTGTTTTGAGTTCAAGGCCAGCTTGAATTACACAGCAAATCTTTCTCTTCCTCCCTCTCCCTCTTTCTCCTTTTTCCCTCTTTCTCCCTCTTTTTCCCTCTCTCTCCTTCCCCCCTCTGTCCCCTGCCTCTAAAAAAAGTAGTCGGGTTGGATACAGCTCAGCAGCACTGTGCCTGCCTTGCAAATACAAGGTCCCAAATTCAATCTCCAGTACCAAAAAAAAAGGAGTCTTTCTAGGTTTTCCTTTTCCCAATTTCTTACCTCCACACAATTAAAGTTAATAGATTAAGGCTGAGTTGGGTCTGGTGGTACATGCCTGTAATCCCAGCATCCTGGGAGGTTGAGGCAGGAGGATTGCAAATTTGAGCACAGCCTGGACAGTTTAGCAATTCAGCAAGACCCTGTCTCAAAAAAAGTGAAAACAGTTATAGATGTAGCCCAGTGTTGCAGCCTGGCTGCAACAATCCCCAGTACTGGAAAAAAAAAAAAAAAATGTAGGGCTGGGGATTCAGCTCAGTGGTTCCAGCACCTACCTTGCAAGAGCAAGGGCCCAAGTTCAATATCTGGTACCAAAAAAAAAAAAAAAAATTGCAAAACCCCGGATGTGATCCGCAGTACTGTCCCTACCCACAAAAGGACAGCTTGACCCTCCCTATTGCAAAAATCCAAAATCAGAAATTCTTTGAAAACTGAAAGTTTTGACACCCAATTCTCAAAAACTTTTGGATTTGGGGCTTCTCAGATTAGGGATTCTCAATTGATAAAGTCTACGCAAATGTTCCAAAATCTGAAAAACTGACAGTGAAACTATTTTTGAGCAGGTGTTTTGGATAAAAGCTATTCAGCCTGTATGTTGGGAGCACAGGAAAAGCGTTTAGAACAGCTAAAAATTAAGAAGGCTTCCTCAAAGATGCAGTATCTGCCTCTTGAGCTGGATTGTGAAGGAAAATTAGTTTCCATGTAGGTAGAGGAAGAGGAATGGGCATTCCACACAGACTAATTGGGATAGCATTATCGGCTTTCTTATTTCTGTGGATCAGTTCAAATAATTACAGTGGACCTTCAAGTTACAGCCTGATGTACAAACAACTTGGGTTATTTGGGTTAATGGAAGATTCATCTGCCTCTTGTTATCTACAGTGTGTATCCAGATAAATGTCCAGGTCTCAGCTGTATTGACTTACAACTAGCTTGAGTTACAACCAGCCCTTGGGAACCGATCAAGTTTATAAGTCAAGGGGCCACTATACTTATTTGGGTAGAGAAATGAGGAGAAAGGTGGCATAAGAGGCAAGGTACCTCCTTAGCTACCCATCTGCCAGATAACTGCATGTTTCAGGTGAGGTAATTGGATCATCAAGCATAGTCTGTTATCACCTTTCCCTGCAGTGAATATAAAACTTCTGTGAAACCCTTTTAATTAAGTACACTTGTCTTCTTAATGTTGTAGGGATTTAGTACTACTTTTTTCTCTGCCATTCCTTCTGTTATCTAATTTCTGCTCATCTTCCATGAAGCAAGTATAGATTTTATATCAGTTTTCTATTTTTTTACTAGCTTTATATATATATATCCCATTAATTTGAGTTTTCTTTCCTATGTTTGAGCGCCTTTATTTTGGGTCTTCTCTGGATAAGAAGAAATCTTCCAACAGAATATGTGGAAAGCTTTTTAACATATTAAAAAGCCATTCTTCCAAGTTAAATAGCTAATAATATTTAATAATGACATTTCTTTAAAGCCATGCCTTAAAGGTTATGACTTTGCTTCATAAGAATACAGTAACCTGAGGCCGGGCGTGGTAGTGCACTCCTGTAATCCCAGTAGTCAGGAGACTGAGGCAGGAGGATCGCTGTGAGTTCAAGACCAGCCTGGGCTACATAGTGAGTTCCAGGTCAGTCTCAACTACATAGTGAGACCCTGTCTCAAAAAACCAAAAAAAAAAAAAGAGTACGGTAACCTGAATCACCCTTCTATTATGATGATATATTCTTTTTGCAGTACTGGGGATTGAACCTAGGGGGTACTTCTTCTGGTTGGTGAATGATCCATATTTTTATTTACTCTCATTTGATTGTACTGATTGAAAATTACTTTTTACTCTTTTTTTTCTGGGCCTGGTTTGCTTCTAGCTAGCCTACTCTGCTGATGAGGTGGCCTGCTATACTTCTTTTTTTGGTTTGTTTGTTTTGTTTGTTTGTTTTTTGAGACAGGGCCTCACTATGCAGTTGAGACTGACCTGGAACTCACTATGTAGTCCAGGCTGGTCTCAAACTCACAACAATACTCCTGCCTCAGCCTCCCGAGTGCTGGGATTACAGGCATGCACCACCACGTCCGGTTTATGCTTCTTTATTGTAGTAAACTGTCACTTTAAAATTTTTAAAAATTTTTTATTATTTATTGTTTGAAACAAGGTCTCCCTGTGTAGCCAGGCTGGCCTTGAACTCATTATATAGTCCAGGCTGACCTTGAACTTGTGGCAGTCCTCCTGCCTCAGCTTCCTGAGTGCTAGGATTACAGGTACACATCAGCACACCCAGCAACTTTCGATTTAATTAAAAAAAAAAAAAAAAGATACAGCCGGGCATGGGGGTGCACGCCTGTAATCCCAGCACTTGGAAGGCTGAGGCAGGAGGATCTCTGTGAGTTCCAGACCAGCCTGGGCTACATAGTGAGTTCCAGGTCAGTCTCAACTACATAGTTGAGACCCTGTCTCCAAAAAAATTAAATAAAATAAAAAGATTCAAGACTATCAGTCTTTATTTCAAGGCCAGAATGTAGACTACTAGCCCCTTATACTGTTACATTAGAGTCAGGCTGTCTTCAGACCAGGCTGGCTAAAATTTCTTGATGATGTGTCACCCACCACGGGATATATATGCAGTAGTATAACACTTGGCCAAGGCCCTGGGTTCAATTCCCAGCACAAGAAAAAAAAAAAAGATAACTAATATTTTATTCATATTTCCCTCCTTCCTTTTCTTTAGTTACAGAAGAATTGCCTCCTTTCACTTTGCAGTGACCGGATCCTTCAAGATGTTCCATTCAACAGGCAAGTGGTAACTCCAAAACTTAAAATTTAAAATTTTAGAAATCTGTTTTGAGTCATTTCTTACCAGTAAAAATATCCTTGATTGACTGGGTAGAGTGTGCACACCTGTAATCCCAGCACCCAGGTTCAAGGCCAGCCTGGGCTACATAATGAATTTGAGGCCAGCCTGAACTATGTAGCGAGACCCTGTTTCAAAAGTATAACAAAAAGACCAACCAAAACAAAACAAAAAATAACCAGATATCCTTGGTGTAAGATTGCTTTAAAGGATACTAAATCTACTTTGTCAAATTTAGTGCTTTGACCCTTGATACCATTTGACCCATTTTCATAGCACTTTGCTTGAGAATGTGTATTAGTTATAGAAGTGCAGATCCTAGGCTGTGGGTCGGGTGACTTGAAGGGTCATCATGCCATTTTGGACCACTTACCTCGGCCTCAGTTGCCACGGCCATACTTGGTCTATCTCAGGGCATCCAGCCACTGTTGGAGTCTGAGAAGCAACCACAAAGTGAAAGATCTTGAGACTGAAGCAGATCAGAGAAGCTCAGGCTGAGGCTGAACAGTACCTATCCTCATGCATGTGATGAAAGAGTTTCAAGGCCAGGGAAGCCGTGGCCCCAGGGTCCCATGATGGCAGCAGGACTGAAATAGAGGAAGGGACCGAGGAGAGGATGGCTCTCCTCTCACCCTGCTTCTGGCAGAACAGGGAAAAAGTCCTCCTAAGTCTTTGTCCATGACTTCTGGCCAGAAATCCATGAAAACTATGATATAAATGGGTAAGAGAAGAAAGAAGTGTCCGTTTGTGTATTGGCATTGAAGATACCCTTATGAAATATGAAGCTTCGGCAAAGTCGAGGTCTAGTCTTACGAAATGCATTAAATTATTTCTGTATATTATATGGTAGATCCCTTTGCTTTTTGAAGAGTGACATATCTAGGTTCTTTGTACAAACTTAGTTCTTATCCAAATGCTTTATCTTTTACCTCATATTTCTTAGAAATGTAATGAGTATATAATGTCTGTTGGTCTCTGCCTCTAAGCTTAAACAGCATTTACTGTATATCAGTGTTGAATTTTTCTTCGATCTAGTAGGAAAAAAACTCAATTCTTTGAAAAATAAAGGGGTTAAATAAAAAATTTTCCCTTGTACTTTCTTGAAAGCCCAGGGCTTTATCTATGGAAAAGTAGTAAATAGTTATTTTGTAGCTTGAAGGAAACAGCAGCCAGAACCTTGACAAAGGATCAAAACAGTCAATACACTGTACTAGTGTTCTTGTTTTGGTTGTGCTTAATTTATCTTAATCAAAATTACTGCATAATAGAACTCAAGAACTTGTTGTATGTTATTATTTAGTCTAGCGAGAATCATTTAAAAGTAAAGACTGTCATAAAAAAGAACTTATATTGGTTATAGTTTACAGAATATCCACACTGTATTGTATTCTGTGATCATTATTATCTCCATTCAAAAGATGAAGAAATTGCCAGGCATGGTGCCACACACCTGTAATCCCAGCACTCAGGAGGCTTAGACTTCAGATCATGATCATGCATTCAAGGCCAGCCTCTGGGCTACATATCAAGATCCTTTCTCATAAAACGAAACAAACAAAACACCCAAAAAGGAATGGACTCATAGAAGTTCGGTGTCTTTCTCATGGTTTCATGGTTAATAACTGGAAAGCTAGACAGACTCAAGTCTTCTATTTTTAGGTCTTGTATTCTTTTCTTTGTAGCATGTCTTTTATTATTATTTGGTATTGAATCATGGAAGAAACTTTTAAGTGGAAGTTAAGGGAAGCCATATAGCAATTCCATTAAGTATAAAGGGTGTCCCTTGTTTTCTAAGATGTTGTAATTTGGGAACTATAAAGGTGATATGTTAGCTGGACGTGGTGGTATATCCCTCTAATCCCAGTCCTCAAGAGACTGAGGCAGGATGATCACCTCATGTTTGAGGCCAGCCTGGGTTATATAATGAGTTAAGGCCAGCCTGAAATACATAGTGAAAGTCTGTCTTAAAAGAAACAAAATAAAACATTTTTTTTTCATTTTACTGTTGCAAAATGTATTTAATCAGGGTATTTTAAAATGGAAATTTATTCTTCATGATTTATGAAAAGTATATTTCTCAAGTAGCAACATTACTGAGACTTACCTTTCATTGGGTAAAAGAATTCAGTGTTATCTGGTATGGCTAAGGACTGAGGTGTTTTATTTATTTATTTTTATTTTTTATTTTTTATTTTTTTGGTACCAGGGATTGAACTCAGGTCCTTGTGCTTGCAAGGCAGGCCACCGAACCGCTGAGCTAAATCCCCAGCCCTTCATTTATTATTTAAAATAAATATTTGGATAAAAACATAACTATATATTTCTTACGTAGATTGCTAATTTCATTTTATAAACATTAAGCCTCTGTGTTGATCATGGCAGTGAAATCAAAAGTAGGAAAGACTTACTCATTCTCCTACAGAAGATTGTAATTTAGCTCAAGGGCTGGCAAACATTTTCTTAAAGGGCCAGATTATACCTGTTTTAGACTTGTGGGCTATGAGGTCTGTATTGCAACTACGTAATTCATTGTACCTCACAAGCAGCCAAACAATATATAAACAAGCTGTGGATGTTCCACTGAAACTTTATAAAACGGACTGGTCCAGGGACTATAGTTTGTCTGCCTCTGGTCTAGGTAATGTACTGTCTTAGTTACTTTTATCTTTGCTGAAACAAAATATCCAACACTTCAAAGTTAAAGGAGGAAAGGTTTATTTTGGCTCGCAGTTTTTAGAGGTTTCATTCCATAGCTGGCTCCAAGGCAGGGTGGCGTGGCAGAGGAGAAATAGTTCATTGTAAGCAGAAGCAGGAAGGTAGGAAGACAGCAAGTGGTGAAGTAGCAACAGCAGCTTGCAACTAGCAGCAACCCTCTTTTTTCCCCTTACAACCTATGAAGGCTCCCCACCCTCAGGACAGGTAGCACTCACACCCAGGGCGGGGCGGCCTTAACCCTAAAATCACAATGGGGCCAGGGATTTAGCTCAGTGGCATGTGCCTTCCTGGCAAGCACAAGGTCCTGAGTTAGATCCCCAGTACCAAAAAAAAAGAAAAATCACATCATAAATCAATCCTGGCATCACATCCTTGATCTTAGCATTACACATTCTAGATCCAGCCGCCTCTGAAAAGCCCCACCTATGATTATATGAAGCCTTGGGGGTACATCTAGATAAAATCATAACATGCACTATGCTAGAATTGAGTGTCTCTGTGGTCAGAGGCTATGACTGCTTCATCTCATGGTCTCTAGTGTTTAGGTGGATGTGTAGTGGATGGATGGATGGATGACTGAATGAGTAACATGAGACAGAAATTTTCATAGAGATATTGACAGTGTATTGTGCCTCTAAGCAAGGAAAAAAGATTCCATCTGATTGATCATTAAAGACTTCATTTTTGGGGCCAGGGATTTGGCTCAGTGGTTCCACCACCTGCTTCACAAGCACAAGGTCCCAAGTTCTATCCCCAGTACCAAACACACACACACACACACACACACACACACACACACACACACACACACACACACACACACACGACTTCATTTTGGTGATGGCACTTGAGATAGTAATGAACACATATAAAGCACTTACTATTACTCTCAGGCCCAGTGCTAAAGTGTTATGTGTGCTTATTCAGTCTTTGCCACAATTCAGTGAAATTGCTACTCTTAGAGTCTTCATCTTACAGGTGAGGAAATAGGCACAGGCACAGGCACAGGCACTGAAAGGCTCAGTAACTTGCTCAAGGTAATAAGATAATAAGTAGCAGAGTCTAGATTTAAATCCAGACTGATATCAGAGCCTTTTTCTTTCTTTTCTTCCTTTTTTTAAAAAGTTGGGATCTTGCTAGATTGCCCAGGCTGGCCTTGAACCTGGGATCCTCCTGCCTCAGTCTCCTGAGTACTTGGGATTATAGGTGTGAGCCCCTTGCCCAGCTTTAGAGCCTTTGATTTTTATATTCATACTATATTGCTTTGAAAAGGAGAGCTGGTTGAGAGGTACGTTCTGGAATTGCATGAATAGAGTCATAGAGAAACTCAATAATAGGAATACTAGTAAAAATTAACTTGAATTAGCTGAGTATGGTAGTGGACACATACAGTTCTAGCTACTAGGAAGGCTGAGGCAGGAGGATTATAAATGTGAGACCAGCCTGGGCAAATTTAGCAAGACCCTGCTTCAGAATTTAAACAAACAAATAAGGAAAGCTGGAGAATTAGCTCAGTGATCCCTAGGTTTAATGCCCAGTACTTTCTCAAGAATTTATTATCTGCCAGTTTCTGTACTGATTTTTTATCTTTTTTTTTTTTTCTTGAGGTTCTGGGGTTGAACCCAGAGTCTTGTGTATACCAGACAAAAGTTTTACCACTGAGCTATACCCTAGCAGGTGATACCATTTAACCGCCGTAGTAACCCCGTGAAAGAGGCTTTTGTTACCATTTTATAGATATTAATACTAAGGTCCAGAGAGACGAAGAAATTTCCCAAGATCACCAAGTTACGAAGTGGTAGAGCTGATATTTGAGTCCAAGCTGACTCCAAAGTATATGGCGTTATTCATGACTTGACTGCATAGATGTACATGATAAAATAATTTATTCTGTTGTTATTATTAAGAATAAGAAGAGGTTTGAGGGTAGAGCTGGACATGGTGGCACATGCCTGTAATGAGGCAGGAGGATCAATGTGAGTACGAGGCCACCCTGTGCTACATAGTGAGTTCAGGGCCAGCCTGAACTACATAGTGAGACTCTATCTCAAAAAATAAAAATAAATGAAAAGGAGCGAGAAAAGAATAAATGGAACTAGAATTCAAAACTTGTCTTCAAATCTAAACCTTTAATCACCAGGCTATCTTACTGAATAATTGCAGATGTGTGCGTTTGTGTGACCAATAAGCAGTTCACTAGTAAGCAGAGGGTAGGGAGGAAAAAGAAGATTTGAAAGTTCCAGTGTATACTAGAGTCCTAGAATACTGTGAGTGTAGGAGTAACATTATACCTAAACCCTCTCACAGGTTATTTATTACTCATGTACAGGCACAAGTCAAAGGGAAAGCAGTAGAGACAGGGAAACCCATTGGGAATCTATAGAAAAATGCTAGACTAGGAATGTAGCTCAAAAATAGAGTGCTTAGGGCTGGGGGTTTAGCTCAGTGGCTCTGCCGTCTGCCTCGCAAGCGCAAGGTTCTCAGTTCAATCCTGGGTACCAAAAAGAAATAGAGTGCTTATCTAGCTTGTATAGGGCCTTGTATTTTGTTTCTTTCTTTTTATTTCGGGGGGGGGTATGGGAATTGAACTCAGGACCTTGTACTTGCAAGGCAGGTGGCAGAGCCACTGAGCTAAATTCCTGGCCCAGGGCCTTGTATTTGATCTCCAGTACCACCCCCCCAAAAAAGAATACCAGTAAGGGGCCCAGTCAGAAATAGCCTTAGGAGCTGGGTGTAGTGGCACATGCCTGTAATCCCAGCATTCTGGGATGCTGAGGCAGGAGCATCATAAATTTGAGCCCAAGCTAGGCAATTTAACAGGACCTTGTCTCAGAAAAAAAAATTTTTAGAGGCAGCTGTGGATACATCTACAGATCAGTGCAAAGGTCCTGGGATCAATTCCCAGGTATACAAACACACAAAAGCCTTAGGAATATCAACAAAAAGAAAAGGCCTTAGGAATACAAAGGAGGTGACAGTGAATTTGCAGAATAATTACCTCAGTATAACCATTCAGCCAACATGTATTAAGCACTGTTTATATGTCATTGAATACTTAGCACTTAGCACAAGGATATGGTTCTTTCCCTCAAGGACCTCATAGCCAGTGCAGATTCAGGTGAGTCTCCATGTGATCACAGATCTGTGACAGAGTTAAAAACAAAGCATTAGGAGAAGGCAGTGATAAACTCATGAAGGAACGCTTCTGGAAGAAAGTACTATATGAGCTAAATCTTAAAGCATGAACCCATGGACAAGATAATATCATTTTGATTTTACTCCCACATTCGGTACTTTGGCAGACCCAGCTCTATCTTCAAAATATATCCAGAATAACATTTCACTTCCCTTTCTACCACTTGAACCAGAGTAAAAACAATTTCCCCTGTGAATTATTAGCCTCTGACCAGCTCACCTGCTCTGTCCTTGCCCTCCTGAAGTTTATTCTGGGCACAATTGATACAGGGATCCATTAAAAACATCAGCCAGAGCCTATCAAGGTGGTTCGACATGCCTGGAATTCCAGCTAGTTGGGAAGCTAAACAGGAGGACTGCAAGTTCTGGCCATCCTGCACAATTTATTGAGACCTTGTATTAAAACAAAATTTAAAAAAGAACTGGGGATGTAGCTCAGAGGTAGAACATTGGCTTAGCATGTACAAGACACTAGGACTCAAGGCCAGGTGTAATTACACCTGTAATCCCAGCACTGGGGAAGTTGAGCGGGGACTGAGGCAGGAGCATCACTGCCAGTTCAAGGCCAGCCTGGGCTACATAGTGAGTTGAGGCCATCCTGAACTACATAGTGAGATCCTGTCTCAAAACAGCAAAACAAAACAAAACACACTATGACACAATTCTGCTCCTCCACCAAAAGAAAGCTTTGATGTTGTCTTCCTTAGCTATTCTAAATAAAATTTCAACATTTCGTGTCCTCCTTTTCCCTTACTGCCTTTCTTCCCTAGAATAATATAATCTGTATGAGAAGTAGGGATATTTTGTTTTTGTTTACTGCTCTCCACTAGGGACTAGCCTAGCATATCGGAGGCCTTAGGTTCAATCTCTGGTACCAGTGAGAGATACAGAGAGAGGGAAGGAGGGAGGGAGGGGGAGAGAGGAGAAGGAAATAAAAAACAGATTATAATTCTAGAGGATGAAATAGCAGGTTTGACCATATTTTCCAAACTATTTTATTTCTTTACAAAATACCAGAATTAAGGCATCATCTCCAAACCACTGTGATTGTTATTTGCTATCAATTAAAAGGAATTTTCACTTTTCTTCTTACTTACTTCATTTAGAGTACAGTTCCTAGCTAGAGCTTTGAAACTGTGCTTCAGCCTCCAGAATTAACTCTTGGAACCCTCCGTGCATTTTCAGATTTGAAGCAGCCAAACTTGTCATGCAGTGGCTCTGCAACCATGAAGATCAAAACATGCAAAGGATGGCGGTTGCTATCATTTCTATCCTGGCTGCCAAGGTACTGGAACTCTTGCTGAATAGTTTTGTACAGGCAGTTGTTTCCCATTACAGTTACTGTTTTCTGGGGCCAGGCATGGTGGTGCACGCCTGTAATCCCAGCACTGGGGAAGCTGAGGCAAAAGAATTACTGAGTTTGAGGCCAGCCTGAGCTGAATAGTGAGACCCTACCTAAAACCCCTCCCCGCAAAAAGAAACCCTCAAAATAATTACTATTTTTTCCTGCAGTCTGTATGCCAGAAAGATCAGTAAGCATATCAGCCAGCCTTAGTCAAGCTGATTACATAGTGGAGAATTTAGTGTTGATCAGGTATTTTAGTGTGCCCATGGAGTCTGTTACAGTGAGTGAGAGTAAGCTCACTGCTCAGTTTGTGGATATTTACTTGGTCTTGTGCTTGCTTCCAGCTTTCTACAGAACAAACTGCACAGCTTGGAGCTGAACTCTTCATTGTCAGGGTAAGTTCGTGTCTCCTCTCTGCAGGCCACTAGATAAGTATTTATTTTTATTGTTTTCAGCCATTAGTGTGTATTTTCTGGATGTGTGTGCGTTTGTATATTTCTTCTTTTTTTTTAAAGCATGTTAGGATTTTTGTTGTTTTGTTTTGTTTTTTGTACCAGGGATCGAACTCGGGTCCTTGTGCTTGCGAAGCAGGTGCTGAAACCACTGAGCTAAATCCCCAGCTCTGTTTTGTTTTTTGTGAGAGGGTCTCCCTATGTAGTTCAGACTAGCCTTGAAATTGCAGTGACCCTCCTGCCTCAGCCTCCCCAAGTGCTGGGATTACAGGCCTGTGCCACCACCCCACTTTCTTTTTTTTGTAGTGCTGGGGATTCAGGGTTTTGCATATACTGAGCAGGTACTCTACCACTGAGCTAAAATTACGTCCCCCTCTGTTTTTTGAAACAGGGTCTTGCTATGTTGTTCAGGCTGGCCTTGAACTCGTGGTACTTCTCCTGCCTCAATCTCCTGAGTGCTGGGATTATAGGCATGCACCACCATTCCCAGCATCCCCTACATTTTAAAAACATTTATTTTGATACTTCTAAATGGATATATTTGATATTGGACATTGGATCTTTTGACTCAGTGCCATAAAAATGAGACCAGGCTGAAGGGTTCAAACATATGCAAGCAGAGTTTCTAGTTTAGAGGAAAGGCACTGGGCTAGAAGATAAAGGAAGCTAAAGGGGGAAGGAAGAGCACTGACAGAGAGAGAAATGAGGCTGGCCCATTACCAGGGCAGGGCGAGTTCTTGGGTTGCTGATGTGGGCAACGGACTGGTTGATCATTATCTCATTTGGGTTCAGCGAGAGTGTCAAGCTGGTACTGAGAGACAAGGGCTTCTTCTTCTGAGGGGCAGCCTCAGTGGGTATCCTTGTGCTCTCATCATGGGCTGATATGCCTTCAGAGGTGCTGCTCTTCCTGGGACTCAGGGGATTGGAGGTCAGGACAGGGACCAGAGACTTGGAGGTATTGTTCCATGGGGACTGTAGTGGGATATTGTAAAAGCTGGCTATGTAGTGCCCCTGAAAATCTTGAGAAATACCTTAGTTGCTCTTATCTTGGTGTCCCCAATCTTGAAGAGGGTTGAGTAGCATAGGGGTTAAGACCTTGGTGTTTTCTGCTTTCCACACACCATTCTTTCACTGGATGACAGGTCAGGGTCTAAGGCCTTAGATTTTTTTGTCTTCTGTCCCTGTGGTGGTCCCTGGCTCATACTCTTTTTTATTTTTTTAATATTTTTTGGTACTGAGGTTTAAACCTAGCACCCTTATGCTGAGCTATGTCCCTAGCCTTTTTTATTTTAAGACAGGGTCTTGCTAAGTCACTCAGGCTGGGTTGGAACTTTGAGCAAGTCTCATTATATAGCTGTTAGGAAGATTAATTTTTTTTATATATCAGGAATTGAACTCAGGACCTTGCACTTGCTAGGTAGCCATGGCATCACTGAGCTACATTCCTGGCCCCAGGAAGATTAAGAAAGATTAATTGTTGGAGTATATGCTAAGAAGCTAAATACAGTATATATTAGATAAAAGGGAAATAATATTTATTTTTAATTTTTTGAGGGATGATATTTTAGTTTTAAAAAGACTTTTTCGCTGGGCACAGTGGTGCGCACCTGTAACCCTAGCTAACTTGGTCGGCTGAAGCAGGCAGAGCAAATTTTGAGATCAGCCTAAGCAGTTCAGCAAGATCCTGTCTAAAAATAGAAAGGGCTGGGGATGCAGACCTCAGTGGTAGAGCATTTGCCTAGCACGAGCAAAGCCCTGAATTCAATCTCCAGTATTGTTAAAAACAAAAACAAGGGCTGGAGATATACCTCAGTGATGCTACCTCCAGCCTCACAGGCTCAAGGTCCTGAGTTCAGTTCCCAGTACCAACAAAACAAAACAGACATACACATAACTTTTGTTTTTCTTTTCGCTATACCTGTGCTCACTAGTTTTCACTAGAGGTATATTCAGAGATTTTAAGAAAGTAGGCTATGTGTATAATTTGTAGGAGTGGGAATTAAATTTTGTTTAAGCAGGAATTAACAGTAATGGTTGTGATGATAATGATAGTTGAGTTTTGGTTTGGTTTGGATTATTTGGTGTTTGAGATTGAATCCAGGGCCTGGCACATGATCTACCACTAAATTTCACATTGGGTCCAAGTTTTTTGTTTGTTCATTCTTTGTTTTTGCGGTACTGTGGATTGAACCCAAGACTTCTCCCTGAACTACATCTGCAGCCCTTTATTTATTTATTTGTTTGTTTATTTTGGTTTTTTTGAGACAGGGTCTCACTATGTAGTTGAGACTGACCTAGAACTCACTATGTAGCCCAGGCTGGTCTCGAACTCACAGTGATCCTCCTGCCTCAGCCTCACAAGTGCTCGGATTACAGGCATGCGCCACCATGCCCAGTGCCCTTTTTAATTTTTAATTTTAAGACAGGGCTTGCTCAGTTGCCTGGGCTTGATTCAAACTTGTGATCCTCCTTCCTCAGCCTCCCACAGTGCTAGGATTACAGCCATGTGCCACCATGCCCAGTTGTTTTTATTTTTATTCTTTAATTCTTACTTATCACCCATAATGTATAGATGAGGAAACAGTTAATTTGTTTAAGGTTATGTGATTAGTTTCGCATATGTGTGTGTCTGTGTGTATTCAGATAACTTGATTCTGGTGCTACACTTTTAGCTGTTATGCTTTTAAGTTAAATAATTGTACCTAGATGTTTGTGCTTCTTTTAAAAATTTTCTGAATTGAGTGTAACTTTTAGTAATAGTATTCATTAATATTTTCTTGGAATCTATTTTAGCAGGACTTCCCTTTTACCTCTCAAAGTGTATCTGAAAATGAAATTATAGATGCCTCATGTAGGTTTTAAACCATTTACTTTTTAAGCTTAAAGTTCGACTAAAACTGATAGAAATAGTTTATAACTAGAATTTCAATGCTATTTATATAGTATAAACTAATTCTTTTATAATTATATTTAGCCATCTCTCTTTTTTTCTTAAGGAAAACTTTCAGTAAGTTCACTATGGTCAAATTACTTAATATTTCTCTGACTCAGTTTTCTTCCTTGGGTAATGAGGGTAGCAGTAATACTACAGTATGGGGCATTGGCGGCAAACCTATGGCAGGTGAGCCACACCAGGCACAAGAGCCCTCTGTCAGCACATGAGCCAAGTAGCCTCAGCACCAGCCCAGCAGTTGAAAATAGAATAACAGTTGTTTTTTTTCTAAGCTGAAACCTCAGTATTCAGGTTTAATTGCAGTGTTGACACTTTGCAATAAGTAAGTGAGTTTTGGGTTGCAGTTTGGGCACTTGGTCTGTAAAAGGTTCGCCATCACTGATCTAAGATTATAATTTGCTGATGTTTAGTAAATGTTTATTTCACTTTCCCTTCTTCCCCTCCACCTTTTTAATCTCAGGTTCTGAAATATGCTGTATGCTATGACTAAAATAGTTGATCCAAACCTTTAATTATTTGTCTCTTAAATGTTATTCACAGGTGATTAAATTATAGATTGATCAGAGCTAGGCATGGTGGCGCATGCCTGTAATCCCAGCACTCAGGAGGCTGAGGCAGGTGGATCACTGTGAGTTCGAGACCAGCCTGGGCTACATAGTGAGTTCCAGGTCAGTCTCAGCTACATAGTGAGACCCTGTCTCAGAGAGAGGGGGAAAAAATATAGATAGATAGATAGAGAGAGAGAGAGAGAGAGAGAGAGAGAGAGATCAGAAAGATGTAGAAATATTTATGAAAATCCTATACATTTTTCTTATTGAAAGAAAAGACTGCTCCAAGGGGCTGTGTTTATAATATCCTTTATGGGGAATGCTTTAAGCCACCAGATTGATCCTTAAAAATCCTTAATAATCACAAATCATAGTAATGATTCAACAGTGATAATTTAATTCTGTTTTCCTCCTTTTAGCAACTTCTTCAAATAGTGAAGCAGAAAACAAATCAAAATTCAGTGGACACTACATTGAAGTTTACATTGAGTGCACTTTGGAACCTCACAGACGAATCCCCAACCACTTGCAGACACTTTATTGAAAACCAAGGTTTAGAACTCTTCATGAGGGTTCTAGAGGTTAGAATGGGAGCTTTGATCTACAGTTTTAATATTTATTGATTTACTTATTTAAGCCTTTACTTATTATCTCTGCTTTTTGGGGGTAGTTACATATTTATGTTTTTTTGTTTTTTTTTTACAGTCTTTCCCAACTGAATCATCCATTCAACAGAAAGTTCTAGGACTTTTGGTAAGATATGATCATTTCCTGTTAAATTGCAAGCTATAATTATTTTCTGTCTGAAGGAATACAATAAAAATTGGTACTGTATTTGTGAATAGGTAATGACTGGAAAGTAACACATTATAATTATTTAATTAGAAAATAAACAGACAATAAGAAGTTCATCTGTAATCCCAGCTACTGGGAAGCCTACAAAGGAGGACTGCAAGTTCAAGGCCAGCCTGAGCAACTTAGCAAGATACTGTCAAACGAAACAAAACACCAAACGGCAATAAAGGCCTGGCTTGGTGGCACACACCTGAAGTCCCACCTGGTCGGGAGACTGAAGTTGGAGGATTACTTGAGCTAAGAGCAGCCTGGGGAATAGAGTGAGACACTGTCTATTTAAAACACACACACATACACACACACTAAAACATATACATGTATTAAGATTTTTGACATTTTAAAAGGGAAAATACACATATACATTATATTCCACACTGAGCATTTTCTAAATAAATATTTTCATTTAAAATGTCATTAACCATGTAAAGGTACAAAAGCCCAATGATGAATGTAACTGTACTGTATACCTAAAATGTACCAATAAACTCAATGAGAAAAAAAAGAGGAAATTCTGAAAATAAAGTATAAACTTATTCCTATATATATATATATATATATCTCATTAACCTACAAGTATTCTTGGATGCTATTGCTATTTTTGGTAGTTAGTAATTACTACTTAAAGGGCTGTTTAACAAACCAGCTATCCTCAACATTTGGGATATAGGTTAAGGTGAGCTCTCTAGAATTTGGGGCAAAGACAAAGGATCAAATGTTTTGTCATCTTAAATCACTAACATAGGCAAAGTGCCAATGTAGTAAGAATGTTTTAAACCAGGCCTGCGCACTCAAGGAATTAGATCATAGGAGGCATAGATTAGTGAGTAAAAATATAAATTAGTGTTTATTTCCACATGTGAGAGTATGAGATATATTGACTAGTGGGGAAATGAATTTTGGGGAAATTCAGAGCTGGCATTTAAGGAGATTCTGTTTATAGTTGTTTTAGTTATATAAAATAGAAAAAGGAATAGAGGAATTATTAAATAAATGACAAGATTTTATTTAATAAATTGTTTAGGACTACTGGGAATCAAACCTAGGAACCTTATGCATACTAGCCAAGCACTCTGCCACTAAGCGACATCCCTAACCTTTTTATTTTGACACAAGGCCTTACTAAGTTGCCCGGGCTACTTGTGATCCTCCCACCTCAGACTCCCAAGTAGCTGGGATTACAGGTGTGTGACCCTGTACTGGCCAGTATTTGTTTTATTCAGGGTTCATAATATTATCATATACAGGGCCAGGGATGTAGGTCAGTGGCACTGCACCTGCCTTGCAAGTGCAAGGTCCTGAGTTTGATCCCCAGTACTCCCCACCAAAAAAGATTATTATATGCAGAAGGTGGCATAAATCATATTAAGAAGAAATGCGGGTGGGTACAGTGCTGCCTGTAATTTCTACACTTTAGGATGCTGAGGCAAGAGACTTGTGAGTTTGAGGCTAGCCTGGGTTAGGTGGTAAGTTCAAGGATGACCTAGATTACACAGTGAGGCCCTGTCTTAAAAACACAAATATAAAGGAGGAGGTAGAGCACAAGCGAGAGCGGGAGGAGGAAGAGGAGGAAATTTATTGAATGGAGTTTTGAAAATGCTTTTTCAGGCTAGGAGCATAGCTAAGTGGTAGAGCATATGCTTAGCATGTACACAAATCCTGGGTTCAATCCTCAGTACTCTCTAAACAAATGTTTTTAAAAAAATTTCCAAAAGAATACATATTTAGGGCCGAGGCTTAGCTCAGTGGTGCCAGCACCTGCCTGGCAAGCTGAAGGTCCTGAGTTCGATCCCTGGTTCTCTTTAAACACACACACACACACACACACACACACACACACACACACACACGTATGTGTGTATGTATGTATGTATGTATGTATGTATGTATGTATTTATTTATTTATAGGATCTGGAATTTAGCTCAGTGGCACCGCGCCTGCCTTACAAACGCAAGGTCACGAGTTTGATCCCCACTACCCCCCCAAAAAAAGCCATGTTTATTATAATTAATGAAACAGTGCAAAATGCATTTTAAAAGTTTAAAATTATAGAGAGTATTTGGTAACATTTTGGGTCCAGATTGCTGTTTGATTCTAGAATCACAAATAAAGCCAATTAAGATCTAGAAAAAGAATGCTGATGACTCTATACTCAACTTTGCATCATTTTCATCTTACAGGGTAATTAATATTACTACAACCAGGGCTAGGGGTTTAGTACTTGCTTAACATACATGAGGCCTTGAGTTTGATCCCCCTCACCTCAAAAAAATAAAGTGTGTTTCTTATAGACAGTGTACTTTGCATATTACTTTTTTATCCAGTTTAATCACCTCTGCTTTTTAGTTAGGGAGTCTGAATTGTTTACTTTTTTTAGTGACCATAAATACATTCATGTTTTCCACTTTTCCCTACCATTTATCTCCATTACTCTTCCTCCTATAAAACTGAAACTGTCCATGAAACAGTACCACCCACTTCACATTCTCTCAGGCTCTGGCAACCACAATTCTATTTTCCATCCCTGTGATTTTTTACTATGCTAACTACCTTACATTAGTGGAATCCTACAATTTTTTTGGTACCAGGGATTGAACTCGGGTCTTTGCGCTTGCAAGACAGGCCACCAAACTGCTGAGCTAAATCCCCAGCCCTATACAATATTTTTTTGTGTGTGACAAAGAATTGAGATTGAGGATCTTATGTGTTTATTTTCCATTCATAGAGCTTCTCTGGAGAAATATCCATTCAACTCCTTTATCTCTTGTTGTTATAAGAGTTCTCTGTGTATTCTGGATATCATTCCTTTTTCAGACATATGATTTACAAATATTTTCCCTCATTCTGAATGAAAGTTGTTTTGTTTTTAAGACAGTCTTGCTGTGTTGCCCAGGCTGTCTCATCAAACTCCTGAGCTAATCCTAGTAGCTGGGACTGTAGGCATGTATCACTACGCCCAGTCTGCTTCTTAGTTTGTTTTTTTTTTTTGGTACTGGGGATTGAACTTGGGGCCTTGCACTTGCAAGGCAGGCCACCGAACCGCTGAGCTAAATCCCCAGCCCCTGCTTCTTAGTTTTTGATTGGATGCTAGTCATTGTGAATTTTACCTTCTTATTTGCTACATATTTTTATTTTCCCATAAATATTATTAAACTTTGCCCTGGGATACAGTTAGTTTACTTTTTAAAAGTTTGACTATTTGGTTTTTTTCTTTTTCTTTTTTGGTTTGTTGAGACAGGATCTCACTATGCAGTTCAGGCTGGCCTTGAACTCACTGTTTAGCCCAGGCTGGTCTCAAACTTGAGGCCTCAGCCTCCTAAGTGCTGAGGTTGCAAGCCTATGGCACCATGCCTGTCTTTTTTTCTTTCATTTTTATTTGTTTTTTTGGTACCAGGGATTGAACTCGGGTCCTTGCACTTGCAAGGCAGGCCACTGTTTTCTTTCATTTTTAAATAGATTTTTGAGTGTCTATTGAAGTCTTTAAGTAGATTTTTTTTTTTTCTTTTGAATCTTTGGGTTTGTAATTTTCATCAAATTGGAAATTTTTTTTTACCTTGTTTCTTCAAATATCTTTTCCTATATCCTTTCTTACCTCATTTCTTTCTAGAACTCCAATTATAAGTATGTAAAACTGCTCAATAAATACACTTCACATTACAAAGCTCCTTTATTAACCATTTTCCCAGTCTTTTTTTCTTTTGTACTTTGGGTTTTTTTTTTTTTTTTTTTTTTTTTTTTTTTTTTTTTTTTTTTTTTTTTTTTTTTTTTACACTGATGGCTTTTTTCTGCATCATCTCATGTATTAATATCATCCTATATATTCTGCATTTCAAATAGTGAATTTTTTTCCCCTCTCTAGTAAGCACATTTCAGGATTTTATTTTTTTGTTTGTTTGTTTTTAGGTAAGGTCTCTCTATGTAGTCTAGATTGGCCTCAAGTTTGAGATCTTCCTGTCCCAGCCCCTCAAGTGCTGGGATTGCAGGTGTGCACTGTCATACTTGAGGCATACTTAGGTCTTTTTTATATCCTTATTTTTTCTCCTTGTGTTTATGTTTTGTTTCATCCTGAGTCATATTTATAATGGCTGTTTTAAACCTCTGCTAATTTCATTCTTTCTGTAATTTCCACATCTGTTTCTATAGATTTATTTTTCTCCAGGTTATGAATCATTTTCCCACTCCTTTGTATGCCTGATAATTTTTTATTGGATGTTAGTCATTATGAAATTTACATTGGTGATTGCTGGATTTAATGGTTTTTCTCCGAAGAGTCATACTTTATTCTGGCATGCAGTTAAGTTACTTGGACATCAAGTTGCTTCTTTTTAAAGCTTGTTTATCTTATTAAGTGGCTTCAGATCAATTTTGGTCATAGGGCTAATGTAATTTAGCCCCACCTCTATCAAATACTTTATTATTTGATCTTTTCACTCTTGCTGCTGGGAATGTGGAACTGTTCCTAGGTGTTTGTGACTTTCAAATTTCTTTGTGTACTTTCTGGTCGCTCTTTTCCTAACCTCATAGAGTTTTACCCCTTTTCATTACTCAACCAAATATTTAGGGGGATCTCTTATACAGTAATATCTGTGTGAGTATCTGTTTCTGTCCACTATCTGTCTTTCTCTCCCTTCTTTTTCCAGTACTTTTTTTTTTTTTCACAAAGTTTTACAGCATGGCTACCCTGAAGTATGATCTCTGCCTTCTCAACCAAAGTACCAGGTTCTCATTACAATCTGAAAACTACCTGATTTGAATACTTTCCGTGATCCCCTACTGGCATTGCTGGTTCGTTGTCCAGTGTCTGTAAACAGTTCTTTTAGCCATTTACTATACATATTACTTGAACTTTTAAATTTATTTTTATATTACTTTAATTTGTGTTTTTCCCCCCCAGAACAATATAGCTGAAGTACAAGAATTGCATTCTGAATTAATGTGGAAGGACTTTATAGACCACATCAGTAGTCTCCTACACAGTGTTGAAGTGGAAGTGAGTTACTTTGCAGCTGGCATTATTGCCCATTTAATATCCAGAGGTGAACAAGCTTGGACGTTGAGCCGTAGCCAGAGGAATTCTCTTCTCGATGATTTGGTAGGATCATTTGGTATTTTCTGGAAGAATAAAAACAACATTCATAATGTTTAAACTGTCAGAGCCTTAAGATGTAATATTGTAATGCTAAGTAAGTATTGTAACCTTCTCTTTGTGTCTTCTGTCTTCTAGCATTCAGCTATTTTGAAATGGCCAACTCCAGAGTGTGAGATGGTAGCATACAGGTAATTGTCATCGTAGTTAATAATAAGCCAGTAACCTTGTCTTTTTCTTATCTCAGGATCATTCCCATTAGATGTTAGTCATCTCCCTTAATATTAACTTTAAAAGAGGCAGTGTAGCTGGGTGTGATGGTACAGGCCTATAATCCTAGCTACCTGGCAGGGTGAGGCAGGAAGATCACATCCTGGGTAACTCAGTGAGACCGTACTTCAAAAGGCTGGCATGTAGCACAGTGGTAGAGGACTTGCCCTCAGGCATGAGAGTGTAGGGTCAATTCCAAGTATCCTAAAATAAAATAAAAGAAACAAAGTATTTTATTTTTTTCTGACACCTATATTCGTATCATTCCTTTTTTCTTGAATGCTTACTGAATATAGCTCCCAAAAATTTGTTCTGGGCTCTTGAAATTCAAACATAAAAAAGGAAAAAAATAAGAAATTCAAAGATAACCAAGACATTGTGCAGCCCACAAGAATCTTGTAGTCTAAGGGCAGGCATGGTAACACATGCCTTTAATCCCAGCACTTGAGAGGCTGAGGCAGGAGGATCACTGAGTTCAAGGCCAGCCTCAGCTACATAGTGAGACCCTATCTCAAAAAAAACAAAACAAAGACTCTTATAGTCTAGTAAGGGAGACCACTGTACTAGATGTACGTAAAATTAAACATGAAAACTCTTAAGTCTACACTGAAAAATGTTATGTTAAAAAGCTCTCAGAGAAGTCAGTTGTGAACTGAGGGTTTTTTGTTTTTGTTTTTGTTTTTGAGACAGGGTCTCACTATGTAGCCCAGGCTGGCCTTGAACACATGGCAGTCCTCCAGCCTCAGACCCCAAAGTGCTGGGATTACAGCCATAGGCTACCACACTTGACTGGTTTTGAAAAAAAATTAAGGTCAAGAGATTTTAAGAAGAAAAGGCAATATATGAACACGTGGAAATCTGAAAGAACATGACAATATTGCAAGAACTAGAAGTAACAGTTCGTCCATTAGGAAAAGCTATTGCAAAATAATTTATTGAAGTGCATCCTGGCTTGCCCAACCCTCTTTATGACACTTAGGCGACTTCATAGCAAAGTTACTAATTACCCAAAGCATTCCAGGTTGCTGCTTAATTAATTTTATTACAACTTATTTTTGTTGTCTGCTTCATAAATGATGGTTCTGCCAACACTTAATTTATTTGTCCAACTTATGTGGTGCCCCTCCTGTTCAGACCAGTGGACACAAAGTCTAGTTCTAGACCTTCATGTTTTCTACTTCTTCATAGTATCACCTCACTTCTCCATTTCTTAGTTTCTAAATCAAGGTTTGTTAGTCTTCAAAATGTGTATCTTTTAAAAGTGCTTTAGATGGATGCTTTTTTCTCTTTTGGTACTCTGTTCTAATCCCCTTCATTTTCTATACGAAAACATGTTGGAATTCAGTCTTTTCAGAAATGTCTAAGACATGGTGTTATTTGGTTCATTTATATGATGACATTTCTAAAATGAAAAGTTTAGTAATTGCTACCTAAAAAATAATGGTATGGGGCCAGGGATTTAGCTCAGTGGTGCTGCCACCTGCCTTGCAAGCACAAGGTTCCAAGTTCGATCCCCGGTACAAAAAAAAAAAACCCAAAAACAATGCTATAAGCCAGGCATGGTGCCATATACCTCTAATACCAGCACTGGAGGGGCTAAGGCAGGAGGATTGCTGTGGTGGAAGGCCAGCCTGGGCTACATAGTGAGTTCCAGGCCAGCCTTAACTAGTAGCCAAGACCCTGTCTGAAACAAACAAAAGAGATACTACATATAGAATGTAATTTTGACTCTTTTATTTTGTATCCTTAGGTCCTTCAATCCATTTTTCCCTTTACTTGGCTGTTTCACAACACCAGGAGTCCAGCTGTGGGCAGTTTGGGCAATGCAACATGTCTGCAGCAAGAATCGTATGTAGCAAAAACAAGAATTATGGTTTTTCTTTTCAAAGAAAATTTTCCTTTCACAGGAAAGCAGTTTCTAATTTGTGTTTTACAATAATTTTTAAAGATACTAACTTCTAAAGATAGATAAAAGAGAATTATAGGTTACAAACAATGTATTCTTTTAGAATAAGTTTGGCAATCTGAATGACAGCAGTGAGATAACTGTTCTAACATGGGATTTTGAAAATGTGTTTAATTATTTGGTTGGTTGGTTGGTTAGCTTATTTTGTGAGACAGGGACTGCTATGAAGTCGAGTCTTGTCTTGAACTTGTTATGTAGCTCATCATCCTCCTGCCTCAGCCTTCTAAGTACTGGGATTATAGGTATGTGCCACCACATCTGGTTTAAACTCATAGAATTTAGTTAGTTAGTTAGTTAGATTTAAATCTATCTTTTTGAGGCAAAGTCTCACCAAGCAGTTTAGGCTGTCCTTAACTTACTATGTAGCCTAGGCTGCCTTCAAACTCACAGTGATCCTCCTGCCTCAGCCTCCTGAGTGCTGGTATTACAAGTGTGTGCCACCATGCCTGTCCTAGACTCATAGAATTTAAAGATTCAGAGCTTGTAGTGATAAGCTGGGGGTTTAGCTTAGTGGTGGAGTGCTTGCCTGGCATGCCCAAAGCCCTAGGTTCAATCACTAGCCCTTGGGGGAAAAAAACAAAACAATATAGTGAGTGTCAGGGATATAGCTGAGTGGTAGTGGATTTGCTTAGACAGCTTGCCTGAGATTCTGGGTTTGATTCCCAGCACTGCAAAAAAAATTTTTTTTAACTTATATGCAAAAGCTTGTTTTTACACAAATATTCATTCAAACATTATTTATAACAGCAGATAACCCTAAATAGAGTTGTAGCAGTGGGGAAATGTAAAATAACATTGAACTCTTCATACAGTAGAATATTTGCATGTCATTTTAAGTGAAAAATATACAGTAGAGTTGGGTGTGGTGGCACACACCTATAATTCAAGCCACTCAGGAGCCCAAGGACCCCATCTCAAATAACAAAGCAGTAAAAATGGGCTGGGGGCTTTGTGTGTTTGCCTCTAATTCTAGCACTCTGGGAGGCTAAGGCAGGAGTATTCAAAGTTCATATTAAAAAACAACAACAACAACAAAAAAAGATCTGGGGCTGCAGCTCAGTGTCAAGACCCTGGATTTAATCCCCAGTACCAAACAAATAGTTGTCTCCCCTGCTCCCACCCCAGAAAGTGGGGTACTGGGGATGTAGCTCAGTGGTTGAAGGCTTGCTTGGCATGTGTTAGGCCCTGGGTGCAGTGCAAAGCACCACAAAGAAAAAAAAAAACAAGACTAGGAAATATGTAGGAATTTATATTCTGGGGTATGATGGAAATAACCAGTATCTGACTAGCCTGCCAGCTAAATGAAAACTGGGGAGGAAATGTGAAAAAAAACTCTCTCTAGACTTTAGAGCAAGGCAACAAGGGTTCTGATACCTGAAGAATGGTGATCTGTACAGCTTATCCAGTTCTATTCCTTGGAGGTACAATGATTACTAGACCCTCATTTGTCATAGTCCATTTTGTGGTGCCGTAACAGAACACTTAAGTCTAAGAACACTTAGGTAAGTTATAAAGAACTGAAACTTATTTCTCACAGTTCTGGAGGCCAGAGGTCTAAGATAAAGGAACCTTAGCATAAGGCTGAATGGCGGGCCAGCCTGCCAGCCAGCTGCTGTGTGGATCCTCTTTTATAAGGGTGTCAGTCTTTCTAATGAGGATGAAGCCCTTGTGATCTAATGACATCTTACTGGCCTTGCTTTGTAATACTGTCATACTGGCAACACCTGAGTTTGGAAAGGAACTATTCAAACCATAGCCTTGGCCTAGGGTGGAAGAGCCAAGCACAATAAAACAATTTCATTGAGCTGAGAAGAGAGAGCAGAGACTGTAGTACCTACGATTGTGGTGCAGAGTAAGGCAGAGGCAGCAGCTACAGTTTACCAAGAACTCCTGGCTGAGAGTGTAACTCAGTGGTACAGCATGTGCTTGGTACTTAGTATGTGCAAGGCTCAGGATCTGATCCTCAGCACTACATACATAAAACTACAAAAATCTTTATGAGGAAAACTGGAGTCTTTGAATTACTCCCATGCATGCCTATGGTAAGACTTCTAGCCTGAGAAAGAACAAATACCAAGTTGCTGATAATTGAACAATATTTGGAGCTTATTTATCACTGGGAAATATTTGAGTTCTAAACAGAGTAGCAAATAATTTGCTAGGTGTAGTGGTATATGACTGTACTCTCAGCAGTCCAGGAGGCTGAGGGATGAGAATTACAAGTTTGAGCCTAGTCTGGGCAGCTTAGCGACTAGCAGTACACTGCCCCTGTCTCAAAATTTTAAAAGGCCAGCCAGGCATGGTGGTGTACACCTGTAATCCCAACACTTGGGAGGCTAAGGCAGGAGGATCGAAGTGAGTTCAGGCCAGCCTGACCTACATAGTGAGACACTGAGTTAGAAAGCAAACAAAAATTTTTTTAAAGGCTGGGAATGTAGCTTGTGACAAAGGCCCTGGATTCAGTCTACAGTACTGAATAAAAATAACTTAATGCCTGAGGCATTTAGTAGAAACACCAGAAAAAGTTAAACTAGCCCTATAAGATCAGTTACTTTAGACCAATCCTAAAAAATTTGAACATGATCAAAAATAAATATATTGCTAGTTAACAACTAAGAGATTTTTTAAAAAAGACAACAGGTGGACCAGGCATGGTGGTACATGCTTATCTTTACCAGCTCTGTGGGAGGCTGACGCAGGAGGATTATAAATATGAGTATGATTGGGCATTTTAACAAGACCTTATCTAAAAAATGTGTAGGGGGCACTCAGTGTGAAGGTCACTCAAACATTTTTTTTCACATCCAAACATTTATTTACTTGACAAATACAAAGTGTTATCATGAGCAGAGAAAGAACCCTAGTTAGTAAAGTCTAAGGCATATACACTTTTTTGTTTTGGTTTATTTTCTTTTTTTGGAGTCAGGGTCTTGTTATTAGTTCAGGCTAGGTTTAAATTCACTATTAGTGCAGGCTGGCCTCGAAGTCACAGCAGTCCTCCTGCCTCAGCCTCCTGAGTGTTGGGATTACAGGTGTGCACCACCACACCTGGCTTGGTTTGTTTTCTTGTGACACAGTCTTGCTATGTAGTTCAGGCTGGCCTTGAACTCATTATGTAGCCCATGTTGGCTTCAAACTTACAACAGTCTTCTTGCTGTAGCCTCCTGAAGTCTGGGATTACAGGTCTGTGCCCCATACCTGGCTTTAAACATGTACACTTTTAAAAGCTGTCAAATAAGCTGTAAAATACTTCAGATATCACAAAATGGAGAAATAAAATAGTATTATGATTAATAAACCAAGAACTCCTCTAGGAAACTTATTATCTGTCTTTTATTTTGCTCTTTGTGTATATTTGGGTTCCTCATATGCAGACTGAGCGTAGTGGTATTGGAGACCACTGCAGAGGATCCTGGTCTCCTGCTGCGTGCTACATATGCATAATGAGAAGAAGGATTCAGAGACAGAATCAAAGAGAGAGACACTGGGAGCCTTGGATTTAGTTCAGTGGTTCCAGCGCCTGCCTTGCAAGCACAAAGATCTGAGTACAATCCCCAGTACCCAAAAAAGAAACAAAAAGAGAGAGAGGGAGAGAGAGAGACTGGGAGCTGGGATGGTCAATGCAGAGCAAGCAACAAAGACCCTAAATAGCTAGAACTGCCATTTATTAGTGGCACAGTTGTTCGTTAAGTTGGGGTAAGAGGGCTACATGTGGTTGCCAGGGATACATTGCTGATGCACAGAAGGCTTGTAAGAGAAGAGACAAAGCATTCAAGTGTTAGGAACAGGACAGACCAGATACAGGTTGTGGTTAACAATTAACCTTGTCTTTTTATTCAGGAAGATTTTAATTTTGGGAATGGTATTTGGGTGTGAGTCACTCTGACTTTGGCTGCCATCTCACGTCATCTTGAGCTTCACAGCTTTATGGACCATTTCTCTGTCCTCTGCTGTGACCATTGGCAGAGAGGTTGTACTAAGCTGCATTCCATCTGCAGTGCTCTTATGAGTCATGTGTGCTTCTGTCAGACTTTTTTTTTTTGTACCGGGGATAGAACTCAGGATCTTGTGCCTGCAAGGCAGGCAGAGGAACCACTGAACTAAATCCCCAGCCCTGGTCAGACTTATTTCTTAAAGCAAACCAATTGTGAGGTTAACTCTTTACTGCCTACACTACTTACAGCCTGCTTTTGGCATAATCAACAGGGCGATCTTCCATATGGTGGCACACATTTATAATCCCAGCACTAAGGAGGCAGAGGCAGGAATATTGCTGAGAGTTGAGGCCAGCCTGAACTACATAGACCCTGTCTCAAAACAAAAACAGCTGAGACCCAAAAACAAACAAACAGAGCAGGAGAGAAATCATACAATATTTAAACTTGTGTGTCTGTTTCGCTTAACATTATGGTCTCAAAGTACATCCGTTTTTCTACAAAAGACTCAAGATTATCCTCTTTATAGCTGAGTAGTATTCCATTGTGTTTAAATACTTTTTTTTTGGTACCAGGGATCAAACTTGGGACTTTGTGTTTGCGAGGCAGGCAGCACCACTGAACTAAATCCCCATCCCTAAATACTTTTTTTTTTTTGGTACTGGTGGTCGAGTTCTGGACCTTGTACTTGTGAGGCAGGCTGGGCACCGATACCTCTTTTTTAATCCATTCATCTGTTCATGGGTGTACAGGTTGCTTCCAAGATTTACCTATTATAAAGTACGCTACTATAAAATAGGTATGCATGTGTCACTGTGAGATAATGTCTTCAACTCTTTGGGGAACATACATATAAGAGGAAGAGCTGGGTCAAATGGAATTTCTAGATTTAGTTTTTTGAGGAATCTGCATACTCATCTCCATCGTCGTCGTATTAGTTTATATTCCCACCAACAATTTAGAATGGTTCCTTTTTCCCTGCAGCCTCATCAGCATTTCTTATTATTTGAATTCTTGATATAGCTATTCTTTCTGGAGTAAGATGGAATTTCAGTATTGTTTTAATTTGCATTTCTCTAATGGCCAGAGATGTTGAACATGTGTGTGTGTGTGTGTGTGTGTGTGTGTGTAAATTGAGCATTACTTCTGAGAAATATCTAATCATTTCAATGGCCCATTTTTTGATTGGTTCTTTTGCTTTGGGGGGGTGTCTAATGTTTTTTTGTTGTTTATATATTCTACATATTAGTAAAATATATTAGGCAATTTTTGTTTCCATTCTGTATGTTGGCTCTTCACTCTGTTGTTTCCCTTGTTACACAGAAGCTTTTAAATTTGATATGGTCCATTTGTTGGTTCTTGGTACAATTTCTTGTGTAATGGGGTTCTGTTAAAAAAAAAGTCCTTGCCTGTGCCTCTGACTTCAATAATTTTACCTGGTTTATTTTCCAACAGATAAAGGGTTTCTGTTTTCACATTTAGATCTTTGATCCATTTTCATTTTAGTTTAGTACATGATGAGAGATATAGGTCTAGATTCAGTCTTCTGCATGTAGATAGCTAGTTTTCCCAGAACCTGTTAAAGAGGCTGTCTTTCTTCCAGCATACATTTTTGGCCCCCTTTCAAAGATCATGTACCTGCGTTTGACTGGAATTGTTCTGCATCCTCTATTCTGTTCCATTTGATCTACGTCTTCCTCCACCCCTCCCCATACCATGTAGTCTTTATCACTGTAACTTTGCAGTGTAACCTACAGTTCATGATTACCATGCCTCCTTCTTCCCTGGTCTTTTGCCCAGGGTTGCTTTTGTTATTGTCTCTTCTGGCTCCATATGAATTTTGGGATTGCTTCCTCTAGTTCTGTGAAAAGTGCTGTTGGTATTTTGTTTGGGATTGCATTAAATTTGCGTATCAGTTTTGGAAGTACAGCCATTTTGACTATATTGGTTCTGCTTATCCAGGAGCAGGGAATATCTTTCCATTTTCTGTTGTCCTCTTTGATCTTCTTTTTCAGAGGTACTATAGCTTTCCCTGTAAAGGTCTTTCCTTCCTTGGAGGTTAATTCCTAAGTATTTAATTTTTCTTGAAGCTATTGGGAAAGTTGTTGTTTCCCTAATTTCTTAATCAGTGAGTTTATTATTGATGCATAGGGATGCTATTAATTTTTGAGTATTTGTATCCTGCTATGCTACTGAATTTGGTTATTAATTCTAGGAATCTTTTAGTGGAATATTTGAGTCTTATATATAGGGGATTATGTCATCTTTGAATAATGATAAATTGACTTATTTCTTTCCTATACATATCTCTTTTATTTCTTTGCTTGCCTGATTGCTCTGGCTGATGTTTCAAGAACTGTATTGAATAGGAGTGTTGATAGCAGACATTCCTGTCTTGTTCTTGACTTTAGAGGGAAAGCTTTCAACTTCTCTCCATTTAATATGATGTTGGCCATTGTTTTGTAATGATTGTTTTTCTTGATTTCTTTCAGCTTCAAGATATTGCAGCATGCTGATTGAAGAAGGAGGACTGCAACATTTATACAACATCAAAGAACACGAACAGACCGATCCCCATGTCCAACAGATTGCTGTGGCCATTCTGGACAGCTTAGAAAAACATATTGTGCGCCATGGGAGGCCACCTCCCTGTAAAAAGCAGCCCCAGGCTAGACTAAATTGATAGCCATAGGTAATTGGGTATTTGAGTCACTAGGATCCTTTTGTGATTGGTCCACTTGGAATATCTTACCCTCTGTGGTATTTTGGGTTCTATGACAAGTCATAAGATCAGTTTGGGATTAATAATGTACAGTACTGCCCATGTGAACAGTCTAATATGTCTTGTGATTTTTAACTTATGAGGCAAGGAAGGTCTCTTTATCATTCCCTTTTAGGAAATTTTCCACATCTTTCAGTGTTTGAATTTACCTGTGCTTGAGATTCTACAGTTTTCTGATAGAGTTTGCACGAACCGGCCAGACTTTTCTGATCTCAAAGTCCCTTCCAGTCAATTTGTGGCCTCGGATTTCTGGCACTGCTTCAGTTGTAAAGTTTCTACTGCTTCTGTATAAAATGCCTTTATCCTCTGTGTATCTCTTAGAAGACAACCTTTTTAGTGTGAAAAAATGGAAACCTGTGTTGTCTCCCCATGGAAACTATTCACTCTGTGGAACCCAGGTGGCTGGCAGAAAAATGTATTGGGAAGAAAAATAATTGAGAATTGTCTTCATGGTGTGGTTTCTAAAATGGGATAGGTTACCCTTCTGGAGCCTACCTCTTTGGAGGCAGTGAGCAGAAAACCCTGTTCCCTGTATTTATGGCCAGAAACGTAGACTGGTACTTCCTATACAGACTGCAGGTTGCTCTCTAGAAATATTTCAGGCATCACACCATAAACTATTACAGTACTCTGTGTTAAAGTCTAATTGTCTGATTCTCTGTCATATTGTTCTGAATATGTAAATTTTTAAAAAATCGTCTCTGGTTAAAAGTAGCTGTTCTTTTCCTGCTGTGTTAAAGCCATTTTTGTTCAGTGTGATAGAGACTACTCATGGTATTTATCTGCTCAGTTAAAACACAATTGACAACAGTAAAGTTTGCCACAAAAAGTTAAATTTGGGTTAGGGGTATAGCTCAGAAGTTGAGTGCATGCTTAGCATGTACAGCCCCAAGTTCAATGTTCAGTACCAAAAGAAAAAAGAAAAAGCTAAATTTTTTCCAAATATATATATATCTTATTAATTTGTTCATGTTATAAAAAGATGTCCACATTTTACTGCCAAAAATGCAAGAGAAGATTAAGACCACTCTTGAATGATTAAATGTAGTTATTTTAATTGCAGTGGATAAAAGGAAATATTTTTGATGGATTATTTTGTAAACAATTGCTTTTCCTTTAAGATACTTGATACAGTATATTAAACAATAAAATATCATATCAATAATTGCACTTGAGAGGAGGCAAATCTCCAAGAAACTTAATTTTCATTTAAAATTTATTTTATTAATAAGGTTAATATGCAACGTCAGATGATTGCATTTTTCATAGCCAAAATATTTTCAGTAGAGATTTTAAATGGGATGTTAAAATGATAGTGGTTATTCAGAAGCATGATAGAAGTGGCTATCAGAGACTTCTTCAGAAAGGAGCTGGTGGGGCCAGGGATTTAGCTCAGTGGAGTGTACACAAATGCAAGGTCCTGAGTTTGATCCCCAATACCAAAACACACACACACACACACACACACACACACACACACACAAAACAACTACAGAAAGGAGCTGGTGTAATAGAACACTAACAGCATTTTTGACATATAGTGGAGTGTACACATGCACAATCCTGAGTTTGAGCCTCAATACCAAAACACAAACACACACACACACACACACACACACACACACACGCACACAAAACAACTACAGAAAGGAGCTGGTGTAATAGAACACTAACAGCATTTTTGACATATCACAATAAATAGACTTGAATTTTGTGATGTTCCTCATTAGGGACAAAAATGGAGTTAAACTAAAAGCAGATATGTGAAACCATTCACAGATGTATTAAATAATGGCTTAATTTTAATTCATTTGGCTTAAGGGATTTTTTTTTTTTTTTTAATGGTACTGGTGATCGAACTTGGGACCTTGAATTTGTGAGTCAGGCAGCAGAACTACTAAGCTAAATCCCCAGCTGGCTTAAGGAATTTTTATAAGATACATTTTCACTGATTTTGCTTACTTCAGAGTAAGTGCAAAATACTTTTAAGAGTTTTTTTTTTAATATTTTTGCCTTTTTTCCTCAATTTTAATGTGTAAGGCAAAATTCAGAAAATAGGGTATTCTGTAATAGCTTGAAAATTGCTAGTGAGGTGGACCATTTTCAGGTCTTTCTAATTCAGTTAAGGGAAAGTCTTAAGAAGTTTGGTTTCAAGTTTTAATTTCATGCTATTCAAGGTAAAAATGTATGTTCTTTATACACTACTGCTAGATTCTTGTCTTTAAAAGTTGTTTTTAGAAATGGCTGAAAATGTACAGAAAACAGACACCTTTATTTAGAGTACCTTCTTGATAAATGAAAACTCAAAAATGTTTAAGTTTAAATTTACTACTTTGAGCATCAGTAGCAGCCAGATACTTCTGGGTCTTAAAAAACAAAATAATTGACCATATCCCAAATATGTAAGTTTTAGTGCCTTTGTGGTTGGGATGGTTCTTAAAGTTGCATATATAATTAAGGCACAGAATTGTCCACAAAGTCTTGAATTTGGCTAAAAATATAGTGCATGAATATATTAAAATTATGAGATATAATTGGACGTTCTCTATCTAAAGTTAGAATCTATAACCCCCTTGAAATTGTAGACTAGAATGTAACATATTTGGTGCCTTCAAAGGTTACCTTTCAGTGACTTCCAGGTGCCAAGAACAGTTTAGACTAACGTTATGCCACTCATTGCTAAAATTCCTGGTGTGCTCAGAAATTTGGACATCATTTAAAAAATACTGATAATACTTACCTTGCAGGGGAGATACCATGATCACGAAGGTGGTTTTCCCAGGGCAAGGCTTATCCATTGCACTCCAGATGTGCTGACCCCTGTGATCCCCCCTCCCAAATATCAATAGATCAGTCCCGAAGCAATAGCAAGTTATGGATGTACTAAAGGAAATGGATGCACAAAGCCCTGGGCTTGGTCCCTGGCACTATACTCTAGCACTACACACAAAAGAAAGGGAAAGGAAAGGAAGACATTTCCTAGTTTGTAGGGCTGTGTGTTGGTATTGAGTAAAGCAAAGTAGAGCAAATATAATTAAGGCAGCAAGTAAGGTTTTTTGTTTGTTTGCTGAGACAGGGTCTCACTGTGTAGTTCAGATTGGCCTTGAGTTCACTGTGTAGACCAGGCTGGCCTTGAACTTGTTGTGATCCGCCTGCCTCAGGCTTCTGAGTGCTGGAATTACAGGTGTGCGCCACTATGCCTAGCTTCTTTTTCTTTTTGCAGTTAAAAAAAAAGAAACATAAATCAAGTATTAATTGGGATTATTTGACAAGGACTTAGTTGAGGTTTTTGTGGGACAGATCTTGCTATGTTCCAGACTGGCCTTAAACTTGCTATGTAGGACTGGAGATTTGGCTCAGTGGTTCTGCTGCCTGCCTGGCAAGCTCAAGGGCCCGAGTTCAATGCCTGGTACCAAAAGAAAAATAAATTTATTTTGGGGCCAGGGATTTAGCCTAGTGGTTCCAGCACCTGCTTTGCAAGTGCAAGGACCCAAGTTCGATCCCCAGTACCAACTCCCCCGACCAAAACAACAACAAAAAATGTGCAAGGTAGCACAAACTAACCTTGAGTTCCTGATCCTCCTTCCTCAGCCTCCTTGAGTGCTGAGATTATATTAGTATGCCACTATAGCCATCTTTCTTAGTTGCAGACATTTTTTTTCCCTTCAGATACTGGGAGTTAAACCCAGAGCCTTTGCACAGAAGTGCACCCTTAGCCCTTTTTCAAAATTTATTTTTGAGTCAGGGTCTCGATATGTCACCAAGTTGCCCTGGCGATCCTCATGCCTCAGTCTCCTGTAGTGGCTGATGTACTACCACAGCCAGCTCTTCTTAGTCAAAGATTTTTGAAAACTTTTTCTTTTGGACCCACAGTTCAGCATAAATATCTCTACTTGTCATTTCAGGACAAGAATGCAGTTTAATGGCACTAATAAACTTCAGGATAAGTGTGATGAGTGAAAGACTGTTACAGGAATTAGCCTTCATCGTGTCTTTTGTTTGCAAGCTTCCAAAGAATTAAAATAATGATGTTTAAAACCATCAATCCTACATATCCCATTTAGGAAGTTGCTCTTACAAGTCTTTTTATGCTGGCTTCTTTTCTCCATAGCCACTTTTATTTGGCTGCACTTTTAATCATGCCATGTGTCAAGATATCATTAGGCCATTTTCTATTACCTTTGAGCTCATTTTAATGAAAATACTTTATGTGCCAAATTAGGGTAAATTACAGAAATGAACTATAAATTGGATTTAGTGTTTTAAAGTACATTAGCCCCCAAAAAGAAAATGAATAAAATAAAATTCATTAGCCCCCTTATAGAAAAAATGTATAGCAGTACCAAGGTCGAATAGAAGTAGCAAAAAGGTACTGTTTTGTGTATGATGAGATGTGCCTCTCTCCTGCCCTCTAATAGTATGTTTACATTATTGGTTATTATATAGATTTAATCACAGTATATACAGTATTGTTAGAGAGTTAAAGGCAGTGTTACACTGTCAGCTGATGTGGACTTTTCCACACTTACCTGTATAATGTTTATTTGGGGACTTTGTCCTCCAAGGGCTGCAGAACACTGCTCTGAGCTTTCAGAGAGGTTTATAAACTTTGGATTTTCCTCCCTCTTTAAATCCACTGTAGCAGTTTCAGATGAATTTGTGTATATTTGTTACAAATTTTTAACTTTCAGTGTTAATTTAATGAACTGTTTACTGTAGGAATAATGCAAAACTAAACTTGGTCCAGTGATGAGAATAGCAGTATGATTGGAAAGTTTGCTGATTGGGCTTTAAATGAGTGATTGTTTTATCTTCTTTAGTATTTCATAGACTTTGTATAATACAGTACACTCCTAATAATACACATCTTAAGACACTGTATTAATTGGTAGCAGAACTTTTTAGCCTGTTTACCCCACATACTCACTTTTTTACATGAATTATGCACCCATAAATGGTGTTTTTCATTACTTTGAATGAAGTAAAGTGTCTTTGAAACAGCACAGCCTAACTTTATGGCCATTAAAAATAATTTCCCCCAAGCCAGGTGTGGGGTGTACTCCTGTAATCCCAGCACCCAGGAGGTTGAGGCAGGAGGATCCCCTTGAGTTGGAGGCCAACCTGGGCTACATTGTAAGTTCAAAGCTAGCCTGAACTGCATAGTAAGAACTTTTCTTCCCCCCCAAAAAGAATATTTCACCCAAAGTCTGAGGCAGGATGATTCCAGATTTGAAGCCAGCCTATGTGCAATTTAGACCCTGTCTCAAAAATAAAAATGGTAGGGGATGTAGCTCAGTGCTCCCTGGGATCAATCTCCAGTAAATACCCACCCCCCTCACCCTCCACCCTGCCCTGAGAAGATTTCAGAGCTGGGCTGCTGCCACTTCCCTGTAAGTCTGCAGTACTCTGGGAGGCTGAGGCAGGAGGTGCAGGTGAGCTCAAGAGTTTGAGACCAGAGTGGGCAACATAACAAGATTCTGTCTAAAAAAAACAAGCCACAGAAAGTATTTTAAAAATCCAAATTTATCAAAATTACTTATGAGAAATCATAAATCTAGTTTACCAATAGTAGGTGCTTAATATGGGGCTTACTTTGGGGAAAACTAACTTGGTCCTCTTAAATTTATTTTAATTAGCTTTAAAGCAAGCAATTACTTTAGCTAGTGAAAGCTGAAGACAATTTGATAAAAGCAAATCTTTGAGAACATTTTTTCGTCTAAAAACGAGAGGATGTTATGTCAAGATTTGTACTGTTAGCTGGGCTTGGTGGTACATGCCTGTAATCCCAGCACGCGGGAGGCTGAGGCAGAAGGATCACTGTGAGTTTGAAACCAGCCTGGGCTACATAGTGAGTTCCAGGTCAGTCTCAACTACATAGTGAGACCCTGTCTCAAAAAAAAAAAAAAAGATTTGTACTCTTAGACATCTGCAAGTATAGAGACATGATGTTTGTAGGATTCTCTGTAAAATTCTGAGTGGTGAGTGTAAAGAAAGCAATCTTTTGCTTGAATTCTGATGGAAGAGTTGAACACCTTTCAAAGAATATGAAAAATTCATTGGAAAGTGTAATGTACATTCATTTTAAAGACTCTCAGTTAACCTGGACGGAAGGCACTTTTCTTGTACTGGCCAGGTAGTGTGGGAGTATTCTGTACCTGAATCATGCTGTATTTTAAATCAGGACATCACTTAAGTATTAATGTTGTGTGTACAGAATTTTGTTTTGGAATTTTTTTGGTTTTTGCCTAAATAAATGGTATAAATTTTACATAAAGTGTGTCTCATCTACTTTTTTTTTCAATACCAGGGATCAAACTCAGGACCTTGCCCTAGCGAGGGAGGTGGTGGCACCACTGAGCTAAATCCCCAGCCCCTCTTGTCTACTTTCATTCTAGACATTTGCTTTAAAGCTTAGTATCAAAGTAAGCTTCAGATTCCTTAGTGATCAACTGGCAACAACAGCTTTCTGAAAAAGGCCGTAGTTTCTAGGACTGGAACAGCATTCATTCATTTCATTAAGTACCTGGGCTAGGTACTATGTAAGTGCTGGAACTTATTTCACTTACAAATTCTTCAAGGAATTTAATGAAGAATAAATGTTCAGTAAAGGTAAATATTACTTAATGGTGTGTTCCAGTCCAGTCTACAGTGCTTGTTACAGAGGCCCAGAGACCATACCTGTCAGACCCAGACCCAGGCAGAAGAGAAAAATTTTCTAGGCAGTTTAAGGTGCAAAGGATAACAGGAAGCCAATGGCTAAGTTTGAGATAAACAGCCCACCCCACAGAGCAACCCCTGTGGGTCCAGATATCCCTGGAGACCACCAGACTTCCTCCAAGGCAAAAAGTTCCCACTCCTCCTGGCTCCAGCCCTCCCGTATCCAAACTCCCCTGTAAAGTGTCCCCTTGCCCAAGCCCCCAGGGTCAACACCTTTGTCATCCTTGACTACCCTGCACCACTTTGGTGGTCTAGGTCATGCCTTGGTTTACCTTAACAATACCTAATCCAGACCTCACACCTAGGAGGCAGTTCAAGAAGAATTCTTCCAGAAAACAGTATCTCTGAGTTCACACGCATTCACACAAATAGATAATTAACTGGTATAATATATGTTATTTAAATGCATTTAGGAAGGGCTGGGGATTTAGCTCAGTGGTTCCGCCACCTGCCTTGAAAGTGCAAGGACCTGAGTTCAATCCCTGGTACAAAAAACAAAAAACAAAATAAATGCATTTAGGGATTGCCTAAATCCCTAAATATAAATCCCATAAAGGGATCGCCCCTCTAAAGAAAAAAGTACTAGTGATTTTAGTTCCCAGAACTTTGATTTTACAGTTAAAGAAAATAGGTCACGGGTAAATGAGTGCTCACGACACAGCAATTCAGTGACAGACTGCACTACAATTCTTAGTTCTGTTTCCCATATGATGGGCCCCAACCCACCACGTTCAGCACAGTAGCCCGAGTCTTTCTAGCTCTCAGGCAGTGTATGATTAAGTAACAAATGAGTGCTGCAGCAAAGAATGTACAGCAGCATTATTTTGTAGACACTAAATAAATGTTAATAAATGCTGGGCATGGTGGCACAGGCCAGCGACCCCAGCACTTGGTGTGTTGCTTAAGTGACAACTGTCCCAGCACTTGAGAGGCTGAGGCAGGAGCTTCAGAAGTTCAAAGCCACAGAATGACTTTTTCTTTTTCTTTTTTGGGGGGGTACTGGGGATCAAACTCAGGACCTTGTGCTTGTGAGGCAGGCGGTGGAACCACTGAGCTAAAATCCCCAGCCATTAAAGTGACTTTAATATTGGCCTTAACTGCATAGGGAGACCCTGTCTCAAAAACCAAAAACGAAGTCGCTACAGATACTACAGCTTTACTAATGAAAATACTGTATTAGATGTGTTAGGCTGTCTGTAGAATTTCTAAATGTAATTTTACTGTAACTTTTATAATTGCTTTTCTTAATTTTATATTATCTGTATAGTAAAGCACTTAATGTAATGTTACTATGGACCATAGATGAGTTTCTTTGGCTAACATTTAACCAATTTGTTGAGCTGCTTTGCGTATAGCATCACTTAAGAAAGGGGGGTGTTGCTGAGAGGAATGCTCTCTGTGGCTCCAGGCCCTGGATTCAAAGCCCAACCCCCACTCCAAAAAAATGGTAGTCTTTCATTCTCTTCTTTCCACTTGTAGTTTTTGTTATGTTGATCGATTTAGTATATCCCAGAGCAGGACTTCCTTTCTTCTCCTTTACTCTTTTTATCTCTTATTCTGAATCTTCAATATGCATCATAAAAGTCTAAAGCACTGGTCTATCCCATAATTTCTCCATCTGTGGAGACAAAGCAAATGGTGGAAACTATTACTGCTCATTTTAATCATTTTTAATCCCCAGCACTCTGGGAGGCTGAAGCAGGAGGATTGAAAGTTCAAAGCCAATGTAGGCAATACAGCAATTTAACAAGATCCTGTCAAAAAAAAAAGAAAAAAAAAGTGGGGATGTAGCTCAGTGGGAAAGCCCAGGGTTCAATCCCTAGTAATGCAAATAAATAAATGAAATAATAAATTGATCCATAGGAACAGATCAACTATAGTTTAGATTTGTAATCAGTTCTACCTTGTGTCAAGTACTATTGTAAGAAGTATGTAATTTCAAATACTATTAGATTCCAATGATGACTTCAAATTCCAATGTTTCCCAAAAATACATCAAGGCAAGACATTTATTTATATTTACTCAGCTAAGCTTTGCAAAGACTTTGTAAAGAAGCTAAATACTAGCTGTGCCTGGTGGCACACTGTAATCCCAGCACTCTGGGAGGACAGCAAGTTAGAGGTCAGCCTGAAGAATTTAGGGAGATCTTGTCTTAAAAAAAAAAGGAGAGGATGGGTGGACAAGTACTCAAGCACCGTGTCCTGGGGTATACGAATGTTTGAAGTCTGTGTAATGAGTATTCAGGAGTACCAGAAAGGGGTACACTGTAATCGCAGCTACTTACGAATCTGAGCCCGGAAGTTCCCAAGTTCAAGGTCACCTGGACAATGTGGTGAGATCCTGTTTTCAGAATAAAGAAATGAAATGGGCAAAAGGTGTAGCTCAGTGGTAGAACAGTTGTATAGCACGTGTGAGGTCCCCGATTCAATTTCCAGTGCAGGATTTTTTTTGGGGGGGGGATTGAGCGTGGGATGAGTTAGGTGGGGTGGAGGTGAGGATGGATTTCAGAGTGGCGGTGGGGAGACAGAGGGAAGAGGCACTGCGACCCGGAAGCTAAGGTAAATAAATATTTAAGGGAAAAACAAATGAGACCTTGGTCAAATGCTCCTGAACAGCCAAATACGATGAAGAATGAGAAGTGACCACTGGAATTAGCAACTTGGAAGTTGAGAATGGTTTAGTCAAATGACAGGTGAAAGACAAACCAGTAACAGAGCAGGAGATAGCTAATACAGGTCACATTTTGGAGAAGTTTCACTGTAAAGGTGAGAAAAGAAAGCAAAAAGGTATTTTTTCACTATCAGAAAAATGTTTAAGTCCTAAAAAAATGTTTTTCTTACAAAACAAATAAGTAATCCCACTACTGGGGAGGCTGTGGCAGGAGGATCCCAAGTTCAACTCCTGCCTGGGCAATTTAGCAGAGATCCTGTCTCAAAGAAGAAAAACAAAAACAGTTGGATGTAGCTCAATGGTAGAGCACCCCTGGGTTCCATTGCCAGTACTGCAGATAAATAATACAATGAATATTTTTAATTAGGTGTAAGTGTCAGCAGGTTTGTATGCTGGTGAAAATGAGCTGAGCAAGGGGACAATTGATAATGCAGAAGAAAGGATCTTACAGGATGTTGCCTTTGTAAACGGGATGGGATTTAGGGCACAAACCTAGGGATTAGCCTTACACTGGACAAGAGCATAAATGGTTTACAATAAAAAGGAAAGACGGAAAGAGTCCACAGGTGGAGAGTACACATGACAGTGGGAACGTAGGACGTTTTGGGGTTGCTTTGCTTATTGAAACAGATGAGCGAAGCTGGTCGCAGATGGTACACCCGTATAATCCCAGCCCCCAGAAGGCTGATGCAGGAGGATCGCCTCAAATTTGAGCCCAGTCTGGGCTACTTAGTGAGTTCAAGGTCAGCCTGAACTACACAGCGAGACCGTATCTCAAAATATGAAAAACCAGCCGGGGATTTGGCTCAGTGGTTCCGCTGCCTGCATCGCAAGTGCAAGGGCCCGGGTTCGATCCCCGGTAACAAAAAAGAAAAACCAAACAAAAAACAAGACAAAAAGATCACAAGTTCTAGGCTGGCTCGAGCAATTAAGCAAATCTCTGTCTCAAAATTAAAAATATATACATTTAAGTAAGTATTTAAAATACATATTCAATTCTGCAAAGCCATAGTCCTTGTAAATGTCCCTGAGGGGAAACAAGCATACTCTCTAGATACCATGCGGTGTGGCTTTGAGCACAGCAGGCTTCCAGAGGTGCGCAAGAGTTGGGCGAGCAGCAGGACGAGCAGGGAGGCGGGATCCGGCCCGTGGAGGCGGGGCCTGCGTCTGCCA